TGAGCCTGCTGGTCGTCCCCGCACTCGTATAACTTCTGGCTCGAGTACAAGATCTCTTGGGTTAACTGGAGGAATATTTTCATCAGTATAAATCCGCCATTGGCTGTGGAATTCATGATGCCCAATGAAACTCCGGTATCAAGGTGTTACTTGATAATATGAATGCAAGGTATTCCCAGCGTCCTTCTGGTTATCCCACTGCATTCTGGGTTAAAAGATGCCTTCCCCGGGCCCTCTGGAAAATAGCAATTCATCATCACAAATACTTTGTTAAAGGCGTAATGAGATATCTTTCCAATAGTAAGTTAAAAGAGAGGAGTCAAAAACCATATAAACTTTCGAATGCAATTATCTTTAATCTCATTTACAATCTTTTGGTATTGATATTTTTCGGTATTTTTAAATGATTGAACTGCCCCTAATAGATTGCTAGTTGATATTTAAAGATCTCTTTTTAAGAGTCAGTGAGCTCTTTCATTCCGTAATATTACTGTTTGACTAAAGTAAAGATAGTCCTTTGTATAATACTGCAGGAATTTCCTCGCAGTATCTTCCTCTATCTATTTATCTCGAATATAGCTTATGACGTCCCGCCAGACTTTAGTACTATATTTACCTTAGAAAGATGTCTATTCAGCCTACATTTTGTTACGTCCTGAAGCCAGGGAGCTTCCCTGTACGGAGGAACGTTCCGGTTAGTTAGTATAGGATCAAGGGAGCCTCCGCGGTAGGCATCCAGGAACATTCCTAGGTATCCTGCAGGCATTCCTGCCTGGGGCTTTGCCTCAGGCAGTATATAGAGTCCCTGGATCCTCCCTCCTAGATAGCCTTTCCTCCCTATGGAAAAATTCTTGACTATGAGTCAGAAACAAACTTGTCTTTTACTAAGCTCCTTTGTAGACCGTCACACCATTCCTGCTATGCCTAGCAGATATGGACAATCTCGGAGTATACTACAACAACATTAAGAATGTCATTGTGGCCTCGAAGCCTGCCTCCAGATCTGCTACTAAATCATTTGTTGAGATCCCTGTTATTCGCCGATTCGGCCACCCACTTCTGCTATGGAACTCTGTTCACACAATGTTACTGCCTCATATATGGTTCACAGAACGACTTGATGAGGCATACAATATCCTTCGGCAGCGATCATAAAACAATGTCTGTGTCAACCTATCCAAAACATACGGCTGCTGAACAGATCTCAAACCAGATTCTACAACTTTCTTTTATTGCCGCACGGACTGCCATCAAGGGAAAAACAGGTTGCTCGCCCCACCTGGGATCCACTGGACGCGACAGCAGAACCGTTTGTCGAGATAGCTTCACAAGGTCACACCAACGATTCAGATCTCAAACAATGCAATTCTAAAATTAAAACCGTTCATACGGTGATTCATTTCCAGGAATAGTAGAGTGTCCTTATAGCTCTGGTGATATCAAAACTTGGTCAACCGTAAACCATGCTAGCATGTTTTCTTCTTGGAAGAGGACGAACAAACTGATCGTCTAGACTAATTTTGGCAGTGAGACGCGTCACCGAATGGAATGACGATCTCTGTTATCTGATAATAGCTTAATTTTGGCTTCATACTCTATCAAAGGCTTATTTTGCTGTCTGTGTAAGTGTGTAGCTTGAACGCTCGGAAATCCCGACCGGTAAAACCCGTTGTGGGTATGAGCCACGAATTAGCATAGCTTAACACGTCCTAGCCAAGGCTTAAGCCGTGGATAGTTGGTTTCGCCATCGTCAACATAGCCCGGTGAAGAAGTGAACCGTTTCAAGAGAGGCAGTATACGCGTGGTAGCCTCTTCGAGATGCTAAGATATATAGGGAGATGTTTGACCGGTTGAGCGCCTGATTTCGTCCCTTCCAAATATTTTGTCACTCTTTATTTTCTCTGCATCTTTGTCAGTTCCCTCGTTCAGTTATGAAATCACTTTCATTCATTATATCGTCAGGTCTTCTTGGCCTGGCGGGTGCTGAATCCATCGGCCTCCTCAAGTCTGATGGCGGTATGTCCCCTTCCCTTGACAAAACATCCGGAAAAACTTCTAACCAAGATCATACAAATAGTGGCCTTGGGCAGCTGGGAAACTGCCTACAAGAAGGCTTCCGACTTTGTGGAATCGCTCACTCCGGCCCAAAAACTGTCTTTGATTACCGGCTCGAGTATCAACATTACAGATGGCAGCTTTGACGCCCTTGCCTTCCTGGACGGGGAGATGGGTCTCCATAACTACTTCTACGTATCTGCTTTCGGTGAAGCCAATGCCATTGCCATGACCTGGGACGAGGACGCTATATATGCACAGGCTAAGGCGATTGGCTCCGAGTTCTACAACAAGGGTGTGCAGGTCTTGTCTGGTCCGACCAGTCAGCCACTGGGAAGGACTCCCTGGGGAGGAAGAGATGTTGAGGGATTTGGGCCCGATCCATACTTGAACGGATTGGCTACTGGATTGGGCACCAAGGTGTATGCAGCATACCGTATGCTGATGCTGGAGTGATTCCAGGTGCTAAGGTATCCACTTCATTTGCTACCATACTAACAAAAGAAGCATTCACTGACACAAGCATAGCATTTCTTACTGTATGAGCAAGAAACCAACCGAACTGGCGGTGATGGAGGAGGCCCTGGAGGATCTCCACCCGGGATGTCGACGAGGTCAACTGCGTCCTCCTCTGCCGGAGCAGCCTCTGGTACCCCCCAAGCGTCTGGCGCGGCATCATCTGGTGGTCCCTCCTCCGGTGGTGGCCCCTCTGGGTCCGGCTCCAGCTCTGGTTCATCTGCGCCTTACTCGTCTAACACCGATGACATAACGCTTCATGAAACCTATCTCTGGCCCTTCTACGATGCTGTCCGGAACGGCATGGGCGCGGTGATGTGTGCGATGATCAAGGTCAACGGTACTATGGCCTGCCAGAACTCTGACCTACTCATGAAACACCTCAAGACTGAGATAGGTTTTCCTGGTCTCGTCTGGCCAGACGCCAACGCCCAAGATAGCGCAACACTCTCGGCCTTGAATGGAGAGGACTACGGATCCAGCAGCATCTGGACCAACTCGACCATTGATGCTCTCCTATCCAATGGCACCCTGACCCAGGCTCGATTCAACGACATGGCGATTCGTAATGTCATCGGATACTTCCACGTTGGACTGGACAACGGCAAACAGCCCAGTGCCCAGGACCAAGATGCGTACGTGGATGTGCGCGCGAATCACTCCAAGTTAATCCGCCAGAACGGCGCGAAGTCCTTGGCTCTTCTCAAGAACAACGGTGGTCTACCACTTAACAAGCCTCGCGTTATGAGTGTTTTTGGTGCCCACGCTGGCGCCGTCACTGGAGGCCCCAACGCCGCTATGGATATCAACGGATCCGGACCTACGTCCCAGGGACACCTGGCCACCGGTACTGGGTCGGCCCAGTCCTCCTCTCCCTATCTGATTACGCCGCACATCGCCCTGACAAACAGAGCCGTTGAAGACGGAACCATGCTACGCTGGATCCTGAACGATACGTACGCCTCTAGCGGTGGATCGTCGTTGATCCCCGAGTCGACTGACAGCACAGCTGTCTCCCTGTCATATGAAAGCTACGCCAGCGGCTCTGATGCCTGTTTGGTCTTCCTCAATGCGCTGTCCGGTGAAGGTGCCGACCGAACGGAGCTGTACAACACTGACCAAGACGCCATGGTCAACACAGTTGCAGACAACTGCAACAACACGGTTGTCGTGCTTAACACCGTCGGGCCCAGACTCGTGGACCAGTGGATCGAGCATGACAACGTCACTGCTGTTCTCTACGGATCTCTCCTCGGTCAAGAGTCCGGTAACTTCATGGCGGATGTCCTGTACGGCGACGTGAACCCATCTGGCCGGTTGATCTATTCGCTTGCCAAGAACGAAAGCGACTATAATGTTGATCTGTGCTATACTTCTCAGTGCAACTATACCGAAGGTATACCGCTCTTATTTATCCCCATGCGCTTCATTGCCATATGAGAATCTAACAACACTAGGTGTTTACCTCGACTACCGCTACTTCGACGCCAACAACATCACCGCTCGCTACCCTTCGGCCACGGACTGTCCTACACTAGCTTCTCCTACTCTAACCTGAATGTCCACGATCCCTCACCCCTCTCCAAATACCCGACGGGCGCCCACTCTGTCGGCGGAGACAGCGACCTATGGGATACAGTCGGCAAGGTCTCGGTTACAGTGAAAAATACCGGCTCTGTCGATGGTGCCGAAGTGCCTCAACTATATCTTGGATTTCCTCAGGCTGCGGGTCAGCATGTTCGCCAGCTCCGTGGGTTCAAGAGAGTTGAAATCAAAGCGGGAAAGAATGAGAAATTTGATTTTAGCCTAAGACGCAGAGATCTATCCTACTGGGATGTGAAGGCTCAGAAGTGGGCTGTTGCGCAGGGTGAATACAAGGTATTTGTTGGAGCCAGCTCGAGGGACCTCAAGCTGAAGGGACGTTTCACGGTGAGGGATAAGCCTATGCTCTGAAGATGTTTACAACTTTGGTGTGCAAGTGTAAGAGGGCTTTGTCGATAGAGACAGGCGTGTAACTCAAGAATTATTATGAACATTCTATCTGATAACAATGAAGTTGCATCAATCAGACGACTTGCCAGACTCCGAATCACGTCATGTTCTACCATCACGCGTAGTCGATGCCTAGACTTTATTTATTACTCTCGCTCTACAACTTCTCTATGATAGATCACATTAGTTTCTTGTAGATTGTTATACGCGGTCTCATTTCTCATTTATGTATCGAATACATCACCGACGCCTTGTGATCTCATATTCTTGACGGACCAATCTTAAAGTGCTCTCAATATACGTTGTGATTTCGCTGCTCAATAACATTTTATTCATCACAGTCGAGTTCGTTTGAAGAATTGCTTAATTCTTTCACCCAACTACACAAAAGGGGAGAGAGGGGGAAATAAACAAGAAGAAATGTGAAATAATAGAAAATATAGGGTAAAATGGACATGTTAATATGATATGTCAACTAGGATATGTAGTAGTTTGAGTATCATAAGTAAATATCCAAGTTGCTAGGGAAATGCTCCAGGGAATATCTTCATCAAAAGTTTCAAAAAACGAGAGTAAAAGCGATTCCTTTATCTTAACAGGTGATGTCACTGGAGCCCTCAGTTTGACTTCTGGCCCAACAATTCACCCTTTGTTTTCCATATAGCGTCGCCACTAGATCCAGCCAGCGATTAGCCCCAATGACTCTTCATCGAGTACAGAGAAGGAAAACCGAACATAGGAAGAGAAAACTCACCCTCGGGTTCCAGACATAAACCGGCGCACCTAGCACAAAAACACCACCCACAACTGCAGCCAGAATCCCATATGCCACAGGATACGAATATTTCTCCACCATCGGATTAATGCCATAACTCAAGGCAAACGCGACAATGTTCTTAGTCCCGACCACTGCTACCAGCGCAGGACCTGGGTTTTTCTCCCACGCCTCTGCCGCAAACGACGTCGAAAGGATCAAAACCGACACGAAAGCTATCTGATACAAGGTCCATGCCATGTATGGGCCTCCCCATGTGAGATTGGGGCCGCCTTCGGCGGTGAAGCCATAAAGTAGCAGGGTAATGATACATAGAATTCCAGGGAGGATGAGAAGCGGGAGACGATGCTCGGGGGAATGGATACCACGTGCGCGTCTTGCCATGAACAGGACGAATTTATCGCCGAAGATACCGGCGTAAAGCATTCCACCGAGGCCACCGAAGACTCCTCCCAGGTTAATGAGGCCGATGTTTTCCGGGGCCCAGTGATAGCTGTATTGGAGGACAGTATTGTAGGAGAGAGACATACCTACCGAGGCACCGAGGACCACGGACGAGAGCAGTGTAGCATAGAGAATTCCGGGTGACGTGAAAGCTTCGCAGATGTGAAGCCATGTTTGGGGTATGGTTTTGATCAGAGATTGGCCTTGAAAAGGTGGAGTCCAGGGTTTGAGCATCTGGACGTAAGACTTCTTGTGGCTGCTCTGATTGGAGCTGGTTTGGTCGGTGCCTTGGGTTATGTAGTCCTGGGTTTCGTGCGCAGAAAGTATCCGAGTGACTCCGAACTGATCGGTCAGGACTAGTCTGCCATTCATGAACTGTGAGCCTCGATGGTATGAAGTCTCAAGTCCAGCAAAGACCACAATGAAGAGTCCTATCCCGATCGCGATAGTGAAAACCCAGTAATACCATCGCCATCCGAGAGCTGCAACCTCGTACGAACTGGCCAGGTTCAAAACACCGGTGATGACATTCTGAGCACACCAGTACATTCCATAGACTATGCCGTGCTGATGCACGAAGGTAACCTCTGCGAGTATAAGAGGTAGGACCTAATCTGATCAGCTGTGTCCAAGGGTGACGGCACAGAGATACAAACCGACTCCGTAGCACCGGCTGCGAGGCCTTGAATGATTCTAAGCGCAAGATGTTGCTCCCACGTATTCGACACGGCACATCCAATTGTCGCGGCGAGTAGGATGGTGGTAGACAGGAGAGTTGCGAATCGGCGACCGTAAACCAATCCGAGAGGGAGAATCAAGAAGTTTCCTATCTTGTTAGCTATTGCTCCGATACAACCCTGAATTTGCTGAAGGGTAAGAGGAAGGACGTACCGATGCCCACGAATAAGGATGGAAAGGTAGACAACCAGACAACCTCATTCACGCTCCGCCCCTCTGCTGTATACATCTGGATGAAAACATCCAGAATCGCTCCCAATCCACCGACCACAGAAAGGGACATCGACGCTGGTCCGCGTTAGATCCAACCATCGATTTTAAGGCGGCAAACAAACAAAACCAGCAGCAGCTCACGATCACTCCCAGCTTCTCCCAAAACGTGAAGTTCAACGGATCATTGGGATCTGTGCTGGGAATAGGCAGTTGCTGCACGCGTCCTTCGCTATCAACCAGGGTTTGGTCTGTGGTGTGCTTTTGAATTTCGACATCTTCGGCCAGCTCAACGGTGGGTTTGTCTCTTTGTTCCATAGTGCTGTGGATGCTCTGTGGGGTGGTGGGTATGAAAGTCGACAGGACGACAAGACTCTAAAGTGGTGCTGCATCCTCCTTCCCCATGGGTTTTGAGGGGCGCCAGTTACTCCACAATCCGAGATATCGGCTCGTGGGGGAATCAGGATCATTAACGTTATTGCATCGTGTTCCTAACCTGTCTACAGCTCGATGAGCATTAATTTGGGGTGTTGGATTCATGACGGAATAATCTCAGGTAGCGTCCATATCAAAGCTAGTCATGAAACCTAGTCGCAATGAGCATGAGCATCGCAGGTGTTGCTTTTCTTCTTTGACCCGTTACTCCGTTAGATTGCCGACAATAAGCAGCAAAGGTGCTCGAGGATCTGCGTCCTCCACGTCCCGAGCTCGGAAAGTGGACTAAACCTGCCCCAAACTCCCGCCTGAAGATTATCAGAGATACCATAGAAAACATCATAGTTCGTTTGTCCCATACAAATTTAAACACAAGCTGTATCCACCGTCATTTATACCATAATCATGATCCGTTTCGTAGCCAGGCAAAAAACATCACTAATGAGGGTGATCCTCATCCTGATCAAAATGCTCCCTGGCCCAAGGACTTCTCAATCGAATCGCCCGACCCATGTAAAAGAAGATGAACGGAATTGGCACGAGCAAAATAGCCAAGAAACCCAGCAAACTAGACGCCCATTCCCATCCTAGCCGGTTATACATCTGGGTGGCGAACAAGGGAAATCCGGCGCCAACGAGATTCCGTGCCAGAATCACACCTGCTAGCGCAGAGGCGGAATATGTCTGGTAGCTATCCACGACGTAGTTGAGAATACTCAGGATGACAATGTAGATACCGGCGCCGAAGAATGAGGACGCCACGATGGGAACCACCCAGTGCACCGAGGGGTAACTGGTCCAGCCGAACCAGAAGAGACTGGCAGGGATGAAGATAGCACCGAGACGCGCCATCCACATACGTGCCTCGGGGACACCGCGACCTCCGTTCTCGGCCACGCGGCGAAGATAATATCGTTCTTGGAGAGGGTAGAAGCAGAAGGCGATGATGGGGCCGATGGCCATGCCGAGGAAGGACAGACCTTGCTGCCCGACATCAAAGTCGTGGCCATCGCCAAAGACAAGAGGGAAGGCTTCATTGAAGAGATAAACGAGGCCGTAGAGAAAACCGCTGCAGGTCAATGTTAGAGTGAGGAACAAGAGCTGGAAGCATCACGTGGACATACTTGTAAAGAGCAGAAAAGAGCGTGATGGGCTCAGAGAAGAGGAACCGGAAAGGACGGGTCAAGGTGATAGCAAAGAGCTCGTGCAAGCCCTTGCGACCACCAGCGGCCGCATCATTGACGGATTCCGCAGATTGCAGGTTCTCCTTGCGCATCTCCTTAGACACTCGACGCGTCTTGCGCTGCAGGATGATTGTGTGTCGCGTTTCCGGCACCGTCACCACCAGCAAAATCCAGAACCCGCCAGTGATGGCCATCAGGGTCCAGAAGATCCATCGCCAGCCCGCATTGCGACCGATATAACCACTCATAATCAGCGCGGTGGGCGGGCCGAAGGTGCTACTAAGTCCGTAGACTGCCATCGGGCCACCACTGGAATTCCGCTCCCACAAATCACTGATCGATCCACCGGTATTGGTCAGAGGCGCACCACCTGCAAGCCCGGCCAGAAAGCGACACACCAGAACGGTGCCGATGTTCGGGGCCAGGGCGATGGGCATCTGGAAGAGGCACAGCAGGAACCAGGACACGACGTAGACGGGTTGCCGACCGAAGTATTCCGATAGAGGAGCCAGCAGGACAGGGCCGACTGCATATCCGAGTACGTATAGCGAAAGACACAGCGTGGTGACTTCTGACGAAACGCCGAATTCCGAGGCAATGGCAGGAGCGCCAGACGAGATGCTCCCGGCACACCAGCATCTAAACAATCAAACAATTAGTCCCTGATCATGCATGCGATCGGATGGAGACACATACGTGACCACGTTCAGCATGCTAACGAATAGCGTGATATACCATTTCCGCGCCTTCGACCAGGCTCGCGGATTGTCACGGTCGCCATCTCCGAACGTGAGCAACAGGGGCAAGGCGTTGTTCGGACGCGCCCTGGCATGCGACAAGGCCTCTTCCTCCGACACGACCGACGGGATATTCTCCCGATAGGAATTGGAGATTTTCTGCTCCAAAGCAGCGTCCGGGACACCGTGACTTTCCTCCATGGTCGCTTTCTCGAGCAGAGCACAGTGCTTTCTGGGGGTCCGGGTCCAAGTCCGGGGAGAAAAAGAGACAGAAGGCGAGAGCAGGACAGGGCGCAATTAGTCAAAGGTCGAACATGACGTCGACCGGCATTTGGATCTGTGTTCAAGACCGAGCTCCACCGTATTACCAATAAAGATCCCCACGGAGGCCGACGTGGAGCTGGAGGAACCAAATGTTGATCAAGCTTTTCTGGACGATGCTTGGCTGTGCCGCAAGCGCCTCCACCAGATAAATTGGAGTCCGCGAACTCCGCACATACGCGAGATAGGAGATTGACCGAATTAACTGGGGCCATTATTAATGGATATTCTGGAATGCCTGTCTGGTTGAACAACGATGGAGGTAGGGTATCCCTTTCGGAGACTCAGGCTCCGATTGGCATGCACGGCTTCTAGCCAAAACTCAGAATAACCAGATTCAGTTGGCAAAGTCGGCTCCATTTGCCGTCTCGAAATCATCTGGGCCGAGTCGGTTTTCCGGAGTTCTGCCAGACTCGCAGTTTCGCACTGTTTGCTGGACGCTGGACTGCCCTGAGCCCCGACTATTGCTCGGTTTTCCGCGGCGCGGTCCACTTTTTGTGCGTGGGGATTTCTGGAGAAGAAGATTCTGATATCCATCTGACTGCTGGGCTTCGCAATCCTCGGTTAATTCGGGCCTTTTCCGTTTCCTGTAGGGGATTGTCACTCGCATTTTCACGCGGCCACTGGACAAGGGGCAAACTTTGTTGTCTTATGTTTGGACAATTATGAAGTCGAATAATTTTATCGCTTTGCTGCATTACTTAATGAATTGGGAATACTTTGGCTGAACACTGGCAACTATGTAGAAATTGGCAATCACACTCACTGAGCCTCTCTTGTTAACAGTGTTACAATATGACCTGGAGGCTTTGATGTTGATTAGTTTGTCGGGTGCCCAGTATACCATGTACAGCGGGTTGCCCGTGACTTGGTAGCACCGACCGCCAGGTTCATTCTCATCTGCTACAAAGAGTAACCAATGTTTCGGCTGACCGGGCCCTTGGTCCTGAAGGACTAGAGATAGAATCCGGTGGTCACAAGCCGTCGGCTCAAGTCCACTAAGCCGGGTTTCATTTGCAACACGGATGAGAATAGACTGCTTTTAAGCTGAAGGCGCTCCTTTTGGTAAGTTCGGGGACTGTTCAATAAGTGGAATCCCATTTGACTCGTATCAGTATCAGTGAACTTGTACCGTCCCTGAGGAATAGACCTGAGGATCTGAGGTTCGAGACGCAAAGTCTTGATTCAGACCTGCCCGAATTGAGCACATCTAATGAGCGACTTGCAGGGTGTATTTATGTTGACCTGACTCATTGGTGCATTCCATTGCGAGAGCAGGAAATAAGGCCTTTGAAATATGGTCATCTTTCTGCGCAATGTCCGCTTTGTCGATCGTATTCATGTTTCAGTTCAATACTCGGGATCTGCCGGTCAGGTATTCGAAAGCTTCCCAATCTAAACACAAACAGAATAAATTGGAATTGGCCTCGCCGTTGGCACTGTGGAAAAGGCCATAGTCAAACGAACACTACAGGCCTCGAACAACACGAGGTGATATCGAAGCGTTTGCAAGAAGCTGTCAATAATATTCAGGAGATATGCCGGTTCTACCTCATACCCTACAATATTCCCCTTCTACTTGCAGCGCCTAATGAGACAGCCCAACCACAGAGTTTTTATTTTCACATACCTCAGGAATCGCCAGTGAATGAAGTCCCGCGACCAGTAAATTCAACGGGACCCTTCAACACAAGCCCATCTCGCAATGACCTTCAACTTCAAGCCTACATGTCCACCAAAAGGCTTGACAATAACAAAACCTACAGCGACATCGCCGTCATGGACAAAATATACGAGGGGAGGCTTGTTGCACGACTCTGAGCCATGAGGACCACAATTCATTTGGAAAGGGGAATAAAGTAGGGCTGACTAGGCGAATGACGTTAACGCACATAAGTAGCTCTAGCACCAGATGAGTGCTCGCACAGACGTGAGAAGCATAGACAGGAGATGGATTATGAGGAAGTGATCCTCAATTCTTCCGATTTGTAAATCTCGGCGTATGTAACGTATTGCGCTTCTGTTCCCAACGATTAGACTGTGCATATGGAATGAACTTTGGATTAAGACAACACAACGTAGAAAGCTGAGAGATAATGGGTAGAGAGCGTTAGATACAGGAGGATAAACCTACATTGAGGGCAGTTTAACTGGGTAGCTGGGCATGAGATTAGTCTCCCGGTGATGGGACGAATTGAATCAGAAGTGAATATAGGCTAAATTCGGCGTACAGAGTTTGATTGATCAGAGTCTAGGCCCAACATCCCTAACCGACCTGATCATGATCTCCGTGGATCTCCGATGTCCGTCATTTTCTTCAAACCTTAGACAAGCACATGCCAATCATACTTAGACTCACCTCGGATGCTGCACTTAAACAAACAAATAGCCCAGTTCAATATATTCCACCACTCCCATGCTTCCCGCAATGTATTCCCTTCTTAGACGCAGCAGCCACGCTCACAGTCCAGGATATAAGCCAGGTTACATCGCTCCTTACACTAGACAGAAAGCGACAAAGATCATCTAAGCCACAGTTCTTGGTCATTTGTGAAGAACCTTGTCCTGTGGGGTAATCAAGGAATCGATTGGCACGTCGATCCGGGGTAATATGACGATATATTAATCTCCTCTTTTGCATTGGGCATTTCCTCATCTTGTATGTGGAAACGGGAGTTTGTTCGTTCATTTTGTGGCATGACTACCTAGGCAGGCTTGCCCTCACATGCCAACTACTGTTAGAGAATTGATGCACATTGGCGTTCTCTTGAGGCCTGAACACTGGGCTGTTCTGCCGAGGATATGCATTTTCTGCAGAAGATTGAAGCTGCTGATCAAGGCGTGAAAATACAATGGATTGTTTGGAACTAAGCGGGGAGTCTTCTATATAAATCTCGTTTTTCCCCTATCTCCAATTCCCTTCCTCATTACCATCCTCACACCTACAGTACAAGACACACTCAACCCAACAACCCCAGCCAACCAAAATGCACATTCCCACCCACCTCCCCCTCCTTGTTCTCTCCCTCTTCACCCCTGTCATCACCTCATCCCCCGTCCTCGCAACCCGCGACGCATCCACCGTCAAGACCGACCTTGCAAAAATAGCAACAGACCTAAACACTCTCACCACGGCCGTAAACAGCTTCACCGGCGGCCTGACCGCTGCGCTAGCAATTCAGACAAAAGAACAAGCCGTGGAGACCGACATCAACAAAGCTACCACAGACACCAACGCCGCGTCGGCATTCACGAGCGCCGAGAGCAGCGCCATCACGACGGCGTTGCTTGCTTTGGAACCAAACATTGATTCTTCATTGGCGGCTTTGGTTTCGAAGGTGCGTTTCATTCTCTATTTTTCTTTCCTCTTTCCTTCCGCCTCTGTCGGTGTTGTTTCGTATGTGGGAAGGTACAGGGTAAGAATCTCAGACTAACTAACGGGACATAGAAATCGCTCTTCGTCTCCGCCGGCGTCAGTAGTATCGTGCAGCTCGACCTTCAGAACCTGAAGACCAAAACAGACACCCTTTCGACCGCATTGCAGAAGAAGACAACTGCTGCGGACAAAGCGACTATTGCATCGAAGACGGTGGAGTTGGACGCGGCGTTTGAGAGCGCACTTGCTGCGTATTCCTGAGTAGGTTGCTTGAAGGAACTTACATTGCCCTAGGGAGGGAGTTATTCAAGCTAGCTTTTGAGACTGGGAAATTGGAATTCACATAGGGGTTTTTGGACGAATCTCCTGTTAGGATATCATTTTATGCTGTCTGTTCTAGGTCAGAGATGTGCAAGCATATCAAATACAGAGAGCTATAAGTGTTTCCCCGAACGAACAAAGAAGATTGCTGTGTAGGATGAAGGGATCTCCTTGTTGCCTCTATGAAAGGGTCTGGAAGAGTAGATATATAGCGAAATGCTGAGCGGATTGCATGTCAGACACCGAATGTCCATGGTGTTGAGAATTGGCTTCTACGTGAATCAGAAGGCATGCGCTGTCAAGTATGCCAGAAGAATATTTCCTTGGTAAGTCTAAAAGAAGCCTCTACCCACCACCAGAGCGGATGAGAGTAAAGAAACGAAAAGCTAGTAAATCAGCACCTCCACTAATTCGCATTCAACCTCCTATTGCCCCATCAAGCAACACAACTTCCTTAGAGCGAATGCCTATGCTCCCGGTACTTCCACCTCCTCTGTTCCGCCTGGGAACTCTGACCCGCCTGCGAGCTCTGGCCGCCCAAGATCTTGGTCGCCGCGTGTTCGGCCACCGTCACGATGTACGCGGAGGGATTCGTCGTGATCATACCAGGGAAGATACTCGCGTCCACGACGTAAAGATTGTCGGTACCGTAGACCTTGGTGTTCGTGTCAACCACGGAGGTGCCATCGCTGCGGCCGTCATCGGTGCCCATTTTGCAGGTTCCTATTTCGCACGGATTAGTGAGACTGGAATTAAGATAGAAGGAGAGGTGGAAACGTACCCATCCAGTGGTTAGCGCGACGAGTTCCAGCGTTAATAGGCATCTGCACGAGTTAGATATGGTTCGTTAGATTGCAAAGCGAGGGTAGATAGGCTTACGTTGTTAACAAATTCCTCAACGGTGGTGTTCGGCGCCGGATATGTCCAGTTCAAGCCGGTTCCCTTCAACGCGTTCTGGAGGTTCTTGATACCCTGGATGACTGCGTCCACATCCTCCTGATCGCGCAGATAAGGCAGCGTCGAAACGACGGTGTCAAGGCCGGTTGTGAGCGTCATGCGACCGCGCGAAGTCAGACCACGGCCGAGGTATTGGCTGATAGTAACGGCATCTAAAGACTCAGCTTGATTCTTTTTGTGTGCAGGTCAGGGGAACTTACGGCCATCAGGAGTGTCGTGGCCACCTTCAACTCGAGCTTGCCATTGGATTTGGCGGACCTTGCCGTCCGAGCCGGTGATTTGGTCGAAGAACCTGATTTTGTTAACAATGTCTTGGATCTAGTTCATGGCGAATGGATAACTTACATTGGGCCGATGTTAGGTGCCGCTTGAGCCAGAATTCCAGTTCGTTGGTCTGTAGACGTTAGTGGCTATTCGGAGTGATCGCGAATGAACCTACCCAAGTAGCTGGAGGCATCGCTCTCGATCGGGTCATCGTAGGCCCCGTAGAAGTCATACCAAACAACCTTCGAGTGAGTGGCGACAAGATCGGTCTGAACAGTTAGCAAGTTTCTTCACTCCCCAGCAGGTGCTTGACATACATTGGTATGGTCGACCAGGTTCTCTCCCACCGGCAACTTGATCCAATCGGATTCCGCAATCATGGTAGGACCGTCGGTTGAATTCTTCACCTTCTCCAACTGATCCGTCGGTCCGATACCACCTGTCCATCATTAGCTTATGCCGACGAAGTCCAAAAGAGATTAACGCACTGCGCATCAAGATCCGGGGGCTTCCAAACGCCCCGGCCGAGAGGATCACGCGTCCAGAGTTGGCAGTCACCTTGACAGTGCCATTGTAGCCGCCATCCATGAACGCCTCAACCTCCACGCCGGTAATTCGAGACCCATCGCGAACAACCCGCTTGACGGTGGTGTTCGTCCAGAGGTCAAAGTTGTCTCTTTCTCTAGCAGACACCAAATACGTCGCCATGGGCCCGCCGCGCTCGCCATTCGCGAACATGAACGGCGCGTGGCCGTACGTCCGGTTCTTTTTCTCGGGAGCCTCGTTGAATGTGGTGGACTGCCAGCCGGCCTTTTCGAGCCCGTTGGCGATCAAGTTGGGGCCCTGCTGATAGTACAGCTTTCCGTCCGTGGACGGAGTGTCGGATCCCGGGATGCGTGAAAAGAGCCGTTCCGCGGGCGCTTGCATGTCGGACGACTGCCATCCGTCGGGGAAGTTGTCGTCCCAGTCGGCGGAGTTCGGCTGTAGATAGAGGTGTCAGTATCCGTGTATCCAAAAGTAAAAAAAAAAAAAAAAGAGTACCTACCCGCCACCAGAGTCCGGCGTTGACGGCTGTTCCGCCACCTAAGACACAACCCGCCATCTGGTCGATGTCGTTACAGGCAATACCGTCAGAGTCCACCCAGATCTGGTTGCAGAGACCCGGCACGTCGAACCGCGTCAGGTTTGTGCCGTCCAACCAAGCCGGCTTGGTCGTTCCGCCCCAGCGACCGGAGGACGGGGGTCCCTTCTCGATGAGCAAGACGCTGTGACCCGCCTCGCTGAGGCGATCCGCCAGGGGAATACCAGCCGCGCCGGCACCCACAACGATGTAGTCGTAGGTGGCATTGCCAGGGACGGGGATGGGTTCCGGCTCGTTGCCGCCGCCGCCATCGCCGGAGCATTCGCCAGTCACGGTCTGGTTTGCCTTCTTGGCCCATTCCGAGTACGAGTCGCTGGCGGCGTTCTCATCAAACTTGGCCACCCAGATACCCTGGCCGGTATGCTGCTTCAGGGAGATCTCCTCCGGGCAGGCCGGGCTGCCGGGGCTTTCGGATGCCTGGGCCCAACCCATCACGAATTTACCGGAGCTGGAGGACACATTCCCCGTCTGGCCATTGTGGTCCCAAGAAAGACAGTTCTCACAGCGGAAGAGCACGGTGTAGTGGGTAGCGTTGATGCGCGAGGTGACCTGGGTAATGTTGGCGTCGCCGGCGTAGACGTCCGGCGTTGCGTAGCCTGTACTGAAGCGGAGGGAGGTCAAGACACTGTCTTCGTAGGGGTACGCCATCAAGAGGAGGTTGCTGTTCATGGACCCGCCGATGGAGACACCGCACCATCCAGTGGCTTCTTCGTCTCCGGAGGCACATGACTGGGTGTTTGGTTAGAACCGCCCCATAGAACAATTAGAAAAGAGCATACCAGGTAGCCCAAGAACTCGTTCGCATCTTCTTTCAGACCCGTGCTGGGTAGAGCAAGACCAAAGGTCAGACCGCCTGCGGTCGTACTCTTCGGGACAGTCCACGTATCAAACGTGATGCCCGTCTCGGAATCGGTATAGACCTCTGCATCGGTCGACTGGGCAAGACATGTCTGCAGCACTAGAAGGGAATCAGCTTGCCTGATGAAGAAGTCCAATGTTAAAGGTCAAACGCACGAGAGTTGGCCGCCAAAAAGGCAGCAAGCACACGATTCACCAGCTTCATTGCGAAGAGGGCCAGGGAACCAGGCGTGATCGGACGACAGGATTGCAAGTCTGCCACGGCGGCATCGAGCCCTAGATATACGAAAGAGGCCAGGCAGATGACCAGGACGAAAGCGACGCAGCAGACAACTCGACCGCCGGTCCGTGGATCCATTTCAAAGGCATAGCGTCTGGGGCGGCATTAGCGGTTCTGGGTAAATTGAGGGTTTGGTTGAGCCCTCCCCTTCACCAAAGCGTCTCCTACCGGTGACACAACTAGCATAAACCAATGAAAAGCCATAAATTTCCAAGACGATACTGTGAAGAGTTCGATAGTTGGAGTTGTCTATCTATCGCGGGCGCGCCAATTACCCGGTAGGGCCAAGACTTCGCATTAGTGCGTCGCGGATAGACAGTCAAATCTCCCGTCAGGCACGGTGATCGTCAACCGTGCCTCCCGAGACACGGAGGATCATGAGGCATGAGACATGCCAAGTATCGACGATAGCCTCAGGCCGGGTTTATCCCCGTTCCCTGCATTAGAGATGTCAGACCGCTGATTGATGGAGATGAACAAGGTGTCTTGGCACACTCACTGGTCCCAATGGCCAAGGGGGTGCCAATGCACGCCGACTCATCCTCCCAAGATCCTGCGGTTTCATGTCTTCCTGGCCCTGAAAAGCCGGACGCCCTCTCCGGTAATTGCAATGGCGCCTAAACCTACGTCAAGCGGCAGGACAGGGGGGCTGATGGAAAGCCTCAGGGGTCAAGGATCAATGCCACCAAAGTCGAATACGTCTAATCCAAAAAGAAATTCAAAAAAGCGGATATGTATCATCAGGCATATTCCATTGGAAGTATCAACAAAAAATCGTAATCTATAGACAAGAAACGGGTAGATGGGAGGAATAGTGTACAGGGACTCGGACGAGTCCTGCGCGTGTCCGGAGGAAAGCCCTTTACCCATGCGGTGCCAACGACATGCATCGGGTGCGACGAATCCGGTTTGCGTGGTTCCAAGAAACGCAGGGCCACAGGGTTCGGACGACGAGCACTGCTTCATTTCCAAAAGCAGGCGGAAATTAGGAGAGAAGGCAGGGGTGCTGCTGTCCTCTCGTTCCCGTTCTTTTTTTGGTTTTTCGTTTTTTTTTTTTTCCTTTTTAAGCGAAAGAATCACCGCTCAGCCCTTATGCTTGGGAGGCTTGGGGTGATATCGGTAGCGGTGCCAATTATCCACTACCCACCATTGCGCCACATGGGCTGCATCCCGAAGCCACTCCACAACGTCCTTGCCGTACTCTTTATCCAGCTTTTCAGCCAGATCCACCAGGTTGAAATCCTTGTATGGTTTCTTCTCGTCGGGATCCTTCTCCAAATCGGTGAAGCGCCACTCTAGATCGTCGATCAACGGGATCACTAGGCGATATTTGGGACGGGCCGCCGATCGCAATGCCAGCCAGGAACCACCGGTGTTCATGACAGTGAACTGCCAATCCTGCTTCTTCTTGTCCTTTGCGTCCTGGGGAACCAGCTCGCG